ACCGAAACATGTTTGCCTAAACATGTCTAACTGGGTTGGGGTTAGCCTGGCCTTAATCCTAGTACTGGTTTTATCAACATGGCCAAGGTTCATCAACGTGGCCGGAAACCAGTCATTACGATCTATGATGAGTCTCAAATCCATTCCAGGTTCATAACAAAGTTGAAATAAAACATATTAGATACAGACTAAGCTAAAGTGACAAGGAACTTAAAAAAAACTAAACAAAACAGCATTCTGACCTTCATCTCGGACTTGTCTCGGTCCGGTTCGGTCCGGGATGAAGGTCGATCCCGGACACGTCTTGGTCCTGTTCGGGTCAGAGATGAGAGGCAGATTAAATCTTGGATTCAATCTGCATCTCATCTCGAATCCGAACAGGACCGCGACGTGTCCGGGATCGACCTTCATCCCGGACCGAACCGGACCGGGACAAGTCCGAGATGAGAGTCAGTCCCGGACCTCGAAGGCTTCAATCTTGGATGCGAGCAATATTCAATCCCGGACCACTGAGGTCCGGGATTGAATACGAGATAGAGTCCGAGATTGAAGCCTTCGAGGGATTTTTTTTTCTCTTACAATGACAACGTCAAACTAAACCTAAATCTATACGGTCGCTTCAGATAGCGCCGGTCATGCTAATACAACAAAGAACAGCACCTTTCTTACATTGTAAAAGATATAAACTAACCTTGCAGCCTCCGAGATGAATCAGACGCTTACAGATGAGTGCGAAAGAATGATTTTCAGAAAAAATGGATGAGTGCGAAATGGATTCTCCGAGACGGGGATTCTCCGAGATGGGGGTTTAGGGTTTTACTTGGGATGGGATGGGAGTGCCACGAAACGTCCGAGACGAAGGATGGGGAGGGGGGGATGAATTTTTTTAAAATAGGGGTACAATGGTAATTTCATTATGTCATATTTTGAAAGGGGTCCTAATTAATAGAATATGGGGTCACAAATTAGGTTTTTTAAAAATGGGATCATTTATCCAGTTTCAGTTATTGGAGGGGTCACACATTCAAATTTCCCTCCCATTAGGGGGTTTCTTTTTTCCTTAACTTGTCAACCCTTATTTTTTTATCCAATTAACCTTAATCCCCTCTTAGTTCAAATAATGGCAAAATACATTTTTTCTCCCTACACGTGAGTTAGGTGTCTATTTTCGTTCCTGAAATTTTAAAATGATATGTCAACTTTTGATGTTTTATCTAATGACATTGTTTTTTTTTCTCTTTATTATTCTCTTCTTTCTCTCTCCTCCCTTCTCCTCCTCCATAGGTTCCACTGCCACGCTTCCCTGTTGTCTTAGACGCTTGCTACACCGACCCTCTTCCCTTCTCCATTTCTCCCCCTTCCTCTATCATTTCCATCTGAAACGACATGATCTGTAAAGGATGTGGTGGTCGATGCAGCGACAGTAAGGACATTGCTGAAGGTGGAGAAGGGGAAGAGAAGGAGAAAGGAGAGAATAATAAGTTGAAAAATAAAAAGCAAAAACGCCATGAGATAAAACAATAAATAAAAATTGATGCAACATTTAAAAATTTTTCACTTCACCTATTCTGTCAGTCAATTTCAACTCAGAAGTTATTTAGACCCATTTTTCAAACACAAAGGATTAAAAATATCTTTCAAAACTTCAAGTATCAAATAGATATCTCAACTCAAACTTCAAAGACCAAAAATATATTTTGTCCTTCAAACATGTCACATTAAGGATGCGATTGGGAGTGACCTTTGCCATTGTTTGGATGACGATTTTGGAAAATCAATTATACTAAATTTATTTTTTCAAAATCACTTAAACTACTATCACTTCCAAACACACCCTAACATTTAAACAATAAAGTTCATGGACTTATTTGATTTTGAACCAAAATAAAAAGTTCAAAGGACGAATTGAAACTCTATTAAGTTCAGAGGATAAATCAACACAAATTTCGATGATCAACCTAAACTTATAAAGTTAGGTTCAGATTTTCTTAATTCAATTACAACTCGAAAGGGTAACATGAGAGTCCAGGTAGAATGAGAGAAAAACTACAACAGAAGAAAATAGTCCAAAGGGTTCATACAACATAGATATCATATAATCAATCCACAAGGGAGATTAGGTAAAGTATAGGTTTTGACACATTACAAGCATACAGGCAAAAGCACAACCACAAGCACATGAAAGACAACCATCTACTAAACTGAAGAACGTCAGTACTCAGAATCAAAAGCTCCGTTCTAGACCAAAACATACCGAATGCATAATATATCTCACCAACTAAGCCACTTCATCGTCTGCAAGAACCTTACTCGAACTCGAAAGAGGCAATATTATGAGAAATCACATCTCCTTATGCAGCAGATTCAAAAGCGTTGACCCTGTTCTCTGCTTGATCAATCAATTCGACTACCTGTGCTACACCAGCTGCAATTTCATTATTGATGCTTCCACTGGGCATATCGAACGTCCTCCTCCGGAAGGAAACCGATTTCTTGATAGGTTGTGGATCGACAACATCAAGCATTGCTTCTAGCTCGTCTATCATTGACCTCTTTGCAGTTCGCACCATCAAATCAGCTCCCTACAAAAATGCAATGCATCAGTCCCTTGTATAACATTTTTCTGAAATCTGTATAAATCACATTGATATAAGCTATCATATCTGACAGAAAAGGTTTGAGTTTATAGTTGAAACATCATCATGACCGATTCCCAGAATGATGCAGCTATAAATTGTAATGTAATCATCAAAATAATCTCCTTTTTGTTTAATTGTGTTGCTCTAGTAATATTTGTACTGAAATGAAGAAATTTTGGTAATATTTGATCCCATGAATATCACTGATTCCTATAAATATCATGTTTAGAAAATATTTTCATTTATATGAATAAGGAACACTACTTCTTGTGTTTCAGAATGATTGAGGAAAAAATAAAAAAGAATTGGCAAACGACTCAAACAAATTTGGTTTGATATTACAGAGTCTAATCATTGTTAAGTCCCCTCTTCTTCCAAGTCGAAGATCGAAACAAACCAAACCACACTAGACTGTTGTATACTTTTTTTTTTTTTAATAAGAAACGGGAGATACGTTTGAAAGGCCACAGCGAACCATAAAACAACTTAAAAGACAAACGGACAAGCTGTCCCCTTTCCAAAAGAAGGAATTAGAGAAAAGCCCTCCTACTGGGTAGTCTTAAACACAGCACCATTTCTTTAACTTTATCAAAACTCTAATTTCGTTTCTTTCTACCTATCAATCATCCCTCAAAGATTAAACTTTTATGTAATTTAAATACAAAATAAATTATACTAATAGTAAAGTTCTGAATCAATTAGGAAATGCACGAGTAAATCTACTTAGAACATATCAACTGAAAGTGTAAGAAGAAATCTATAGCATGGAAGTATGCAAATTTAAAAATCCACAAGATGTAACTGTTACCATTTCAAAAGCAGGAAATAACTGTGGTAAAGCGAGAGATTAAGATCAAGTCAAAGCTCTCAAAAATAAAATTAGTTTAGGATTAATGAAATCTGTAGTAAAGCAGCAAGAGCGAGACTAAAGGTCCCAAGAGCATTACACTTTGAATCGAGAATGTTATCCAAAACCATAAAACCAAAGGAAAGCAAACGAGAGTAAACAGTGCTTATAAAAAAAATTGAGAGTGCACCCACGAGAAATGCAAGATTAATCTATAATGTTGGATTATACCCATTAATGCTTACAATTGTGACAGTTTTAATCTGATTGAAGTAACAGGATAATATAGAGTTGGAATGAAGCCACCGTCTTACACATGTTGAAAGTGGCATTTTGAAATAAGAGTTGGCAACAATACAAAATTTAATGAAAATCATAAGAAAAAGTGGAATAAGATTGGATGTTGTTTCATGGCTGATGGATGATAAGATATGTTTAATTATGTATGATTTTGTATAACAAAAATCAAAATTTTAAAATTGATTAAAATTATTATAGTTATAATATAATTGACCAATAAACGTATATTTCATGTGTTGACTTACTAGTAGAAAAGAGCGAGAGTGATTCTAACCTCAATAGCATCGACAGTAAGGAGCAGGACAATTATTTTTTCAGTGAACCTCTGACGCTCCTCTGCATCCCGAGCCAGTCGCTGACTGTAAGCGAAGTTATGGAAGGATGCCCTGATCTCCTTCAACTTTGTCTTGGCAACTGTCAGATCTCTAAGAGCACGAAGAACCTTTGACCTGTGAATTAAGTATTCTCTGAAGCTCAACTGAATGATAACAGCTGCATCTTGAGGAGATATCTCCTTCTTCTTACCCTTCTTATTTTCAATAACTCTAGTTCTCTTGGCAAAGGCCTTACACCACAAAAACAAAATTTGTAAGTTCCCTATACATTTCCTTTAACTGCAAGACATTGAAATTCTGCAATTGAAAAACTACACAAGACATCCCTAAATAATGTGTCTGATTTTCATTTTCGCTCCTTCCTGGCATTCTTCATTATATTCTGCTTTGCCCACATGCTTTATAAAAAGGGAAACAAGAAATTCAACCTCCCTGTTCTAAATACCTTGCTTCACTATGCAAAGACCTCACTCCTTGCTGATACTCATAAAACACACAACCCAGCTTCCTTCCCCTCCCGACGATAACTAACTTCCAGGCATTCTACACTGTGTGCATTTTTAATACTTGACTGAAAACAGAGCTGAAACTGTAGACTACGAAAATTAAATGTGGAGCTAAGTTCAAAGATTAATCAAATATTAATATTTAGGAAGTTTCATATCAAAGTGATATTTCTTAAATGTTTACCTAATCAATCATAAGTGGGGTCTAATGGGGGGCTTCTAAATTCCATCCCCACCACATTTCCAAGCCACAAAAACTCCCCATCTTTTCTTCTCTATTACATTCTTAAAGTAATCACCCAAAACAGCGATTGTCTTTTCTGCTAAGTTCAACCTTGAAGTGCAAAAGGGCTGATGTGACAAATTAATAAATTCATACGGCAGTAGATCTAAATTTGTATGCTGTTCATATAATTTTTACCAACTTCCGGGAGAGAAAAAAATGGTAAAAATAGAACAAAATAAGATCCAATGAATACAACTAGATTTTTAATGCAGGGTTGGATATAATACCTGTCTTAAAACGACAGCTCCTTGATTTTCATTGTCTTCAATCTCAACCACACGCGTCTCATTCTCCACCTTCTTGCCATTCTTTTTCTTCTCCTCCTTCTTCTCTGTTTTCTCACTTCCATAACCAGACGATACCTCCACTGTGTACTTCCGCACCACCGGATCCCTCTCATCCTTTCCTTTGATCTCCGCAGTCCACTTGTAGTTCTGCACAACCGCACCATGCTTGCCCTCCTTGTTCTTCTTCCCGTCTTTAATCTCAGCTATCAGCTTATACTTACGATCAGCGCCGTGCTTCTCCGCTCCTTTGATTTCCTTCGTCCAAGTGTACTTCCGATCGCCATAGCCGCTAACCCTCGCAGTAGTCAGCCGATCAAACCGCGCCTCAAGCTCACTAACCCGATCGCTCAGTCTCCGCAGCACAGCCTCGTCTCTCGACCTCTCAACTCTCCGAATCCGGCTGTAGGACGAAAACGACGGCGCCTCGTCGATCTGTAGCAGATCGGTGAAGGAGTCGAACGCGGCAGGGCGGTGGCTGAGCAAGTCGAAGGCGAAATCGAAGTCAGGCACTTCATCGGCGAAAGATTGGAAGGGAAATGAGAGAGGTTTTGGGACGAAAATGGAGGTTTCGGCCTCAGCAAGTAGAAGCGAAGGGTAGCGGGAGTAGTAGGGCTCGATGAGCTCGAATCTGCTGAATCTGCTCATGGCTTTGAATGCGTCAGAGAAATCGGAGGAAACTGAGGAACTTGAATGGAGGAGAAAGTGAAAAGTTGAAGAAAATGGCGGAAAGGTATAAGACGAGGAGTGGATTTTGGTGGGCTTCAACTGAGAGCTGAAGGAAGAAGACGACGGTTTGAAAGGATCGAGGGATGGAAATTGGTAAATATGAGTTGAACGCAAGTGCTTTTTGGTAAATCTGTGTGGATTTTGAAAATGTTCTTTGTAAAGAAGTATAGACATTAAAATTCATTTTTTTTACTAATTTTGTTAGTTGTTTTAAATTTTTAAATATTTAAGTTGAATAGTTGATTACGTTGCTGATGCTGATTTTTGGGTGCACTGTGTCATGCGCGTCTTCATCTTTTAAATTCTGATTGGTTGACTGCACATAGAAATTTAGTACTTTTTCTATCCACATGAATACTTAAGTTATAATTTAAGTTGGGATTAAAAAAAGGTACGAAGCAAAAAGAGAAGAAGATAGTAATATCAAGGACGAGGTGTGTTTGAGAGCTTGTGTCGAATCCTCACAAGAAATTGTGTAGAGAAATATGACTTACCTTTGTTAGGGCTCTTTTCCTTGTATATGGAGAGAGAGAGGTTTCTCATGTGTGAGGCAGACAGGGGAGTGGTATGTCKCATCCTTAGTGGCCTCTTGAGACGTATCCCGGTTTAGGTACAGGGTGTCAGCACACTGCCCACTAGTTGTCCTCTGTATGGGATGTTCATGTACGCTCAGCCCTGTTACAGGTGCACTCAGGAGTTGGCCCGGTGCGCTTAGTTATTTACGGTTCTTTTCTTTGCCAGACCCATGTGTCTGGGCAAGCCTTCGACATGTGACACCTTGATTTTATTGGATAATAAGGATATTAAATATATGTCAATATTTTCATATGTCCATGGATTCGACATRGAGTGTATCGACATTTCTATAGTATCACAAAAATAGAAACGCGAAATACTTATATGTTAATTTAAAGCTTTGTTATAAATTGTTTTATATTTTTTTCTAGAAATATCCATCAATGTTTCCACAAAATTGAAAAATCTATATTGACATAGATATTATCTTTTCCATYAAGAATGAAGTTAAGGGTTCATTTAATGCGTGTTTATTTTTCAAATTCAAAACATAAATATTTATCTTTAATATTTTTACTAGTGATTTATATACTTAATACTCATATCTTTAGGTTAGATTACTGTTTTAGCGGATTAAATTACTCTAATAAGTCTTTCAATAAGCTAAATGTCAATGTTTTTCTTACCAAACATGGTTTTTCTTTGACTGGAGGCAGAAAATATATGAATTAAGAGTCGAAGTTTTAAATGTCAATATTAATGAAAATGTAGAAGTCTTCATTTCATAGAAATATCGATAGAATTATCAATAAAATATTGACGTTGATAGATATTTTTAGAAAAGTTATAAAAATAAAAAATTCGTAAAACATTTTTAATTAACGAATAAGTATTTCAATCTTTCTAAAATGAGTTGAAAATGATTGATAATATCTATATATTAGTGATATTTTATTTATATTTTTCATATTTTAAGATTATTTTAGAGGACTATCGAAAATATCAATTTACTCTTCATGTTAATACCGAACTTATGGACACACATAAATGATGATGGAAATGTTCACATATTGACGAGTATTTAATACCCGAATAAGAACACATTATTTACATTTATTAATATTAGAGACATTTAAYACTCGAGTAAGAACATACTAATCACCAACCCTAAATACTAAATTGATAATTTAACAACTAACTTGAGCACCACAATTGATTAAAGCATTTATTTCCGAAATGTGATGACTTGAAACATTAAATATCTAATATTTTTTAGTTCATTAAATTAAATGTTTGGCTTAAATCCTATTTTTGATAATTTAACTACTAACTTGAGCATACCACGATTGATTTAAGCATTTATTTCCACCAAAAGGTAATGACTTGAAACATTAATATCTAATATTTTTTAGTTCATTAAATTAAATATTTGGCTTAAATCCTATTTTGTGTTCATATTCTTTTCAATTTTATCTATTTTGATCTCTATACTTCTAAAACATTTATTTTTGGTATACCTATATTTATAGTTTTTGTCAATTCTAGTTGCTATATTTTTAAGGYCATTTCTTGTTCTTGTATGTTTAAAAAGTAATCATTTTGATTATATTTAYAAAATCTTAACACAAGTTGCAGAAACCTTTAAAAMAAACCTATAAAAATATTTTGATAAATTTTTACACGTGATGCTGCATTGAAATTGTGATAAAAATAAAATAAAAAATTAATAATAGAGGACTAAAATAACTACGATGGTGGGAGGGGAGCATATTCATTAGCAATTTAGCATCATCATCGTGTCCAAATGGCTTTATAAATAGTTTTTGAGAGAATAAAAGTTAGAAGCAAATTACAATAACAAAAACGAGGTAAAAAACTAAAACAGACAAATATTTTTATGTACATTGTTCGACCATAAAATCTCAAGGGACACGTCACCCAGTTTCGATCCAGATAGTACGAGGTTGGACAATAGCCGAACTAAACACCTAACCGAGCTGGACAATAAGATAAACAGTTTATACTCMTCTTTTTACGCCATGACAACCAAACCGCTCCCCCACTCAACGTGCAGTTTTCCTATTTTCACGGATAACTAATTGTATAGTTCAAAAAAAGGAGCCAAGCTCCTCAACGGTCATTTTTGAGCCATGACCGTATGCAAAAACTTACGATTACACTTTCAAATTAATTTATTAGGCACAAAGACTAATTAGATCGTCGAAGTGCTTACTTGTTTTTTAGGTTCAATTCCAAGAGTATTATCAGGAGTCTATTGTGACTACCGATCCTTTTTTGGTAAGAACATACATCATTGATAATGACAACCAATGTATGATTCTTACAACTTTGGTCAACTATTTTCGAGTTGACCTATACGTTTCGCATGTATATATATAATTAAGGATGTTAATGGCGTGCCTTAACAAAATGAGTAGAGATCATGTTGAAATATATTTTATGTAGACCTGGTCATATGAAGATAGAATTTAAAGATTGTGCCATATAGTCATTCACAGGAATCCCTTATCAATTTGATTTGTTATATTCAATGTATTAAAAATTGTTTAAATTGCTTTCCTAAAAAAAATAATAAAAAAAAGAAATTTAATTGCTAAGCATGATTTTAGTTTAGCRATAATTGATACMTTCCTCTGACCAATATGTCATGAGTTCGTTTTAGATTTTATTGTGGGCCATAAACTTTTAAATTTGGTTCTATTCTGACTTTAAATTTTTTTGTAATATTATTTTAGTTAAAATAATCATTTTATTCAGGTGGTTTGATAATCATTTGGTTTTTGGTTTTTAGTTTTTAAAAAACAATGGTGTTTGATAACCAATTCAATTTTCTATTTTTTATTTTTAAAAAACTATTTTGAAATTCTATGTAAATTAAAAAAAAAGTAGTTTTTGAAAAATAGATAATCTCATTTTTTATTCAAATAGTCAATTTTTTCACATATTTATCTCTACCAAATTTTTTTCTCATTCTAAAATTTTTTTCTTCATAAATATCTCATTAAAAATTTATTTTTCCTTTTTTAAAATTTTAACATTTTCAATATTTATCATTATTTTTATCTCCCTCCAAAATTTTCATCCCTATATATTTTATTTTTTTGTCTTTTTTTCTAACATATCACTCCCCATTCTCTCCCCTGTCTATCTTTCTTCTAAAAATTATACCTTCGTATTCTCATTCAATTTTCTTTCACTATAACTTTTATTTCTCTTTGAATTTATTTATTTTCTCTAACAAGTATATTTCGAATCTTGTTTTTATTTTTAAATTTTTGCATGCTATAATTTTTTTTTCTAATTTTTCTTTAATGTATCTTTTCCTCTCAACTTTACTCTTCCTCTCTAAATTTTTTCTTGTCTTTAACTTTTATTTCACTAATTATTTTCTTCTAAATATTTTTCTTTATCTTTTCTTTTGAAAATGATATATTCTTTTCTGGTTCAATTTTCTTTCACTATAACTTTTAATGTTCTTTGTATTTATTTATTTTCTCTAAAAGGTATATTTCAAATCTTGTTTTTATTTTTAAATTTTTTCTTACTATAATTTTCCTTTTTCTTTCTAATTTTTTTCTTTAATGTATCTTTTCCTTTCAACTTTACTTTTCCTCTCTAAACTTTTTCATGTCTTTAACTTTTTCTTTCACTAATTATTTTTTTTCTAAATCTTTTTATTTATCTCTCTAAAATTTCTCTTTCATATGTTTATTTTCATCTCTCTAAACTTGTATTTTTCATGTAGGAATGACAAAAATTCCCACAAGGTCAGGTCCCCGCTCTAAAAGTAGAAAATGCATGTCCCGATCAAATCCTCGATTCAAATTTTTAAATAATTAATATATATTTTATTGACATATTTACTAAATTGTGAATAAAATATTAAATATTTTTTAAAACTAATTATTTATAGCAGTAAATAATAATTCTAAAAATAATTAATATATATTTATTACACTTTTTTATTTTTTAAATTCTAAAATAATTATAATTAATTATAAAACTGGTAATTTTTCCCTCGAATATCCTCATCCCCAAATAAAGATTCTTTAACCTGGATCTTGATTCCCGTAGTGAAAAACAAGGTGGAGACGGGGACTAAAATTTTTTAGAAGCACGAGAATGGAAGATGACAACCTCACTTGCATCTCACATCATTGTCATCTCTACTTTACATATATTTTTTTTTCTCTAATATATATTTTTAATTTTCTAACTTTTTAAAAACAGAAAACTAAAAATGATTGCCAAACAGAAAAAAAGTTATAAAAAATATATGGTTTTTGTTTTATAAAAATCAAAAACTAAAAACCAAAAACAAAAAACAGAAAATATATATATATATATGTATATATAAATGGTTGGTCCCTAAACTGTCAAAAGTCTATTTTAGTTATTGGATTTTTAAAAATTGAAAACTTTAGGCCCCTTTGATAACCATTTTAGTTTTTGGTTTTTGGTTTTTGGTTTTTCTTGCCGTTTTTATTTTTAGTTTTCTGTTCTAGAGATGACAATAGTGTGGGTGCAAGTGAAGATGCTCTCCCCCATTCTCGGGATAGTGAAAATTTTTAGTCTCCGTCTCCACCTCGTTCTTGGGTCCAAGAGATGTTCTCG